CTATGCATATTGAATTCTCTAGTCAGAAAGACCAGGCCTGTCTTGCAAGACAAAAAAGGACACGTACCCAGAGCCACATGGGGCTTGTTGAATGATGGGCCAGGGTCAAATGCTCAAAGTGCCTCTATCAGGAGGTAGGCTCCAAAAGTGCTGAAGAAGAGAGGCCAAGACCTTGACAATGAAAGGAGAGAAACTCCAAGACAACTACTTACTTGCCTGAAAGAAAATTTGCCCTCTAGACTCAAGAAACTATTGTTAATCTTGGTCCCTGGGCTGCCACACTCAGACAATTCGTAAGACCTCTTTGACAGATTTAAGATTATCGAAGACAAGGCTATGGGAGGCAGTGGTTGGCAGTGGTTATAGTTACCCTAGATTCTCTATCCTCTTTGTACCTTAGACTCTAAGACATCTATGCTCTTTGGGTTGTTTTTTGCAGAAAAGAGGATGCCTCTCTCAGAAGAGGGGTATAGCTGTCTAATAGTCTAAGCTCCTCCCTTAATCATAATAATAGTAGCTAACATTTAATGTGCTACTTATTGTGTCTTGGGCACTATGCTAAGCATTTTTATATAGTTTGTTTCTTTTGACCCTCACAAGCTTGTGAGGTAAGTTCTCTTATTCCTGTCTTCACTGGGAGAAATGGACAGGTTGCTCAGCTTGATAGGGGTTTGGAAAGTGCAAGAACAGCCTACAGTATCAAAATTAAGATTCATTCAAAAATAAATAAGTGTATGCTGGCTGTATTGGGGTGATATTATTTAAATAACTTTGTGATTGATGAACTCTATGTAGAAAAATTTAGTTGACACCCAGGAACATCTATGTTGTACAAAGGGAAGTGTGCCCATTCCTGAAATTCAGAGGTTGTTTCAACCTAGATTCTCCACCCTGCCCCCATGCATAGGTGACATTCCCACCCCATTTTAGTCACACTTCCCCTTCCTTTTGGGTTGAGAAAGTATTCCTGCCTCATAAACCCACATGCCATAAAAAAGACATGTGGACGATCCAATTTCCTTGAGAACCTTGGTTTGTTGAATTATTGTCTCCTGCTTGATAAAACTCTTCTTCAGTAGAAATCTTGCTGCATCCCTGGGTGAGAATGATTGTCAGAAGAATCCTCCAGCGATATTTATTGGGCAAATTGGAAGGAAACTAGCTGAGCCAAGACTAGCCAGAGAAGACCCTGGGAGGATGCAATGTACAATCATGTGCAGCATAATGACATTTCAGTCAGTGATGAACCATATATATGATAGTAGTCCCATAAGATTATAATGGATTATTAGCGAAAAGTTTGATTGCAATGTTGAAAGAAAAGGCTGAACCCTAGTAAGATGTGAACTTATTGCTAGCTCTGGGTGGTTTAAATAAATGAGGAGGCTCGGTACGCTTTCCACCCACTGTATGCCCACCCCAGGCAGGGGCCACAAGTTAGCTACGGATTGAGAGGAGTGGGCTGTGGAGGAAGGGAGCCCAGGAGCCCACCCAAGCCAACCCGTGCATACACACACACTCGTGTGCACAAACTCACTTCCCTTCTTTTTGTCTTTATCTCTCTTTCCTCCCAGTCCTGTTTCTCCCTCTCCCTTCCTCTCTTTTCTCTCTTCTCCCTCCCTCCCTCCCTCGCTCTCCTCCCTCCTCCCTTTTATTATTTCTCATCTCAAGCTTTATTTCTCTGGTCTCTTTTGATCTCTGCTCCCTTTCTCTCCCCTTCTCTTTCCTCTGTCTCTCCCTTCCTCCCTCCCTCCTGATGTTTGTTCTTCTTCAGACAGTGCCTCCATCCACAGCCCTCCTTTAGCATCCCACATTGTGTCACTTTATCTTATATACCATATTTTTACTGTACCTTTTCTATGTTTAGCTATGTTTAGATACACAAATACATATTATTGTGTTACAGTTGCCTACAGTATTTAATACAGTATCATGCTACACAGGTTTGTAGTCAGTAGGCTATACCATAGGTGTATGGTGGGCTATACCACATAGGTTTGAGTAAGTGCACTCTTTAATGTTCACACAATGACTAAATCGCCTAACTACACATTTCTCAGAATGTATCCCCATTGTTAAGCAATGCATAACTATATTTGAACAGGGAAGATAGAGCCCTGACTTGGGCATGCAGAAGATGTGGATTTTAGGAGCAGCTTTCTCAGTGATCAGCTGTAAAGTCTTGAGCAAGTCACTTAAACTCCCTCTCTGTACCCCAGTTTCCTCATCAGTTTAACAACTGAGTTGGACTAGAGGCTCTGTAAGGTTCCTTCCAGCTCTGTGACTAATAAGCTGAGTCTCAGTCAAAATCCTGTCAGACCCACAAAGTGCCTGGGGTAGTTCCTTTGGAGACGAAGCCATATGCAATGCGTAATAGCAAATGACGCAGCCTTAGACAGTGTCATACCCTCCAGATGGGTTTGTAAGACTCATCTTTCTATGCAACTGTTTCTATTTCTCAGAAACAGTTATGGGCTAGTTGGTTTATACTGCTTGGTGAGACCGTATAACAGGGTAGGAGTTAAGAGCATGACTTATAGAGTAGGACCTGCGTTTGAAAACCGGTTCTGCTGCATCCTAGTGGGTGCCCTAGGACAAATGATTGACTTCTCTGAATATCAGTTTCTCCCTCTGAAAGATGATGCTAATAGAACCAGCCTCATAGGCTTGTTAAGACGAAAGTCAACAATGTATGTAAAGCACTTAGCCAAGCACCTGGCAAAATGGAAGTGGTCAGTCATCCGTGTCTACTACTACTATTGGTGTGCTTATTGCTATCAACATAATTCTCCTGACATGGTCATGGCTAAACTTCAGCATTTTTTCAGGATATATCTTTCTCTTTCTAGATGGAATTTGAGAAAAGCATAAGCTGATCTTTCTGACCTAAAGCAGTTCTAGAGTGAGACTTGGATTCAGTTTTCTGTTCTGCTTCTTATAGGCTCTGGGCACTTGGACAAATTATTTAACTTCTCTGCCTTTTCGTTTCCTCATATGTAAAATTCAGGCAGGTATAGCGCCTACCCTCAAGGGCTGTCATGAATATGATAATGAGTGTGAAAAACTGAGTGCTGTGCCTGACATCCAGAAGCCACTAAAGAAATGGCTGTGGTCCTGATGGTGAAAGAAATCATCGTAAGAATGAATGACTACCTCCACTACCACTACCCACCTTGGGTTGGAAGGGTGAATGTGTTCAAGTTTATACAGTTTTTGCATACCTAACCAATGTTAGGATAGGTAGCAATTGCTGTTCCTGAAGGGATGGCAAAGGAATTGTCACAAGGCTTTATCAACAGTGGCTGAGAATTTAAAACCAAGTTGTTTTTAGAGGTGCAACTAAAAATGATTCAGCAGACCATAATTCTCATCAGGAAAGTTCTATTGGTTTCTGCCAGTCCTCTTACACCCAGGAACTTTAGGGGAAAAATAATTCTAAACTGCCTCTGTTCTTTGAAGGCTCAATTTCAGTTGGTTACCCATGATATATTCCTCTCAGGCTTCATCACGATCATCTGGGTGCAGAGACGTAAGGTCTCTGTTCTCTTTTGCCAAGGTCATCTTCATTCTTGAATAGATGCCACCTAACTTTTCTCGAGCCTCTCAATGGGAGCAAAAGCCATTTGATGGCTAGAATACAGGTGTACAGAAACAATGGGAGTTCTAAGGGATGTGCTATTAGAGTAGGTGAAGTTGTAGAGGACTCTAGAGATATTAGCAAGTAGAAATTCAAAAACCAAACTAGTCCTTATGGTTCTGGAGATGAGTTTATTTACTGAGGGAGGGATAATAGATGTTTCTTTTGACTTCCCTCCAGTTTTCTCTTTAGTACTCTGTTAAAAGTTGAAAAAGAGAAAGATAACAGCCAGTCACTGCAAGCGAAGCTAAGCTCCAGGTTTCCTTCCCTCCCCAGACCACCCCTGGTTAGGAGGGTTTTAGCCACTTTCCAAGAGGATATAGACTACACCCTGCCAGAAACCCCCTCTGCCCTGACCTCATACTTTCTCACTCCTGCGCTCTCTCCTCTCCCCTTCTTTTAAGGAATACTAACCACAAGGTTCAAAGATTTCTTCACAGACATCTTCCAGCAACATCTCTTCATCCCAGGCGTTCATTCTCTTTTTTGCCCTGGGTTCTGAGGTTATAGAAAAGAAAAATAGATTTCAATTTTGGACAGAGATTTAGGGGTAATTTCTGATACTTAGAAAAACATTTTCTCTGCTCTTCTACCAGATTCCTTCTACTCAACTCTCATCCTCACTCATCCCCAGAGCAGTGCCTCTTTCCTCCTAAGTGCCCCTAGCCAAGTCCAGGCCTCTCTGTATAGGTGTAACAACCCAAGACTCTGGGGTTGTCTTAAGGGCCAGATCCCTTGGAGAGCAGAGATGACATTATAATATTGACAGTTGACCATCCTGATGACTGGGGTCCCAAGGAACACTGAGAAAGAGTGGCCATCAACAGAAATGGGACTTCAAGTCCTCACAACTTTTTTCTTTAATGCCTTTATTATGTTGGGAGAAATCATATATGCTTATTATAAAAAAAAAAATCCAATAAAACAAAAAATCCAAAGAAAGGCACCTAGGATTCTCAAAATCACCTAGTAACTTACCTCTAGAGAAAACTGCTGCTTATGTCTTGGTGATTTTCCTCCAGGTATTCTATGCATGTATACACAATGTTGTACATACTATACTCTCTCTTGCCATTTTCTCTAACAAAACTTCAGGTTGTGGAAAACTTTCCATGTCAGTAAATATAAGTCGACAATAGCCTTTTTAATATCTGCATAGTATTCCATTGTGTGGATGCACCATAATTTATTTAGCCATTTCTTATTGTGAGACATTTAGCTGGTTTTCAACTTTTAGCTGTTGTACAAAATGCTGTGATTGAACAACCATGAGCATCCTTCCCCTCCCCCCGCCCACACTTGGATACTTGTGTAATTATCTTTGAATACAGTTTAAGAAATGAGATGATTGGCTCATCGGGTTTCCACATTTTAAAAATTCTCAGTACATATATTGAGAGAGGGAGATCAGGAGGGAGACAGACAACCAAGCTACTCTCCATGAAGGTTGTACCAATTTATACTTCCACCACTGGAAATCATAACCTTTAAGATAACCCTATACCCATTCAAACAAAGATTTTGTGTCAGCCAGTGCTGGGGCATCATACTGGTCCCCAAGTACCCTCCCTTCCTTTCATCTACTTCTTCTCCTGACCACCAACTATAGTATGAGAAAAGAGTTTCAGACTCAAAATAGAAATACTGTTTTATAAATTACAAGGGAAGGCCTATGTGTCTTTTCTTCTCTGACAAACCACTGATCTAGCATTACCTTCAAAAAGATCATCATCATCATCGTTGTCAACATAAGTTGCTTGGGGCTGCAAGTCAGTACTCTGATTGTAGTGAAGCTCAGTAGTGTTTTGAGCTCTATTTCCTCCAGAACATTCACCTTCCTCCATGGGTTCATCTAAAGCAAATGTCACTGATGCATTCTTTTTAGGTCTTAGTCTTGAACCTTTCTGTACGGCAAGAAGATGGAGAAAAAAAGTCAGTTGGTGCCCAAGAATTTAGAGATTGGTCCTTGGAGCAATAACATTTAAAGAGCTATTTACCTGTAGGATTGGCTTTAGGGGCCTAGCTTCCATTGAGTGTCCTAGAGACTGTCTTTTTCCTTTGGACATTTCCATCCTGGTGGGGAAGCTGGAGAAGGTGGAAAGGACAAAGCAATAGTGAAGACACACACTTCAAGTTCCTTAATTGAATGCAGCTATTACCCCATTCCTAATATATGCCTTTGGACAATGAAAGGGACAACAGAGCAAGAAAAGGCATTTAGGCCTTTTCTTCCTTAAAACCTTGATTGCCTCCTGTTTTCTCCTTTTCTTTCTTCTTTTCCATATCCCTGTTTTCTCCCATCTTTCATTATTATTGAATCAGAGAACTGGAAGTGGAGAATGTGAGAGTGGCTTCAGGACATTCATCCAGAGAATACTGCCTATAAGCTCCTTCAGGGGCTTGTGTTCCTTTTCTCTTCCATATGGCAAACCAGAGGATAAAAACCCTATTTTGGAGAAGCTCTAATGTTGATAGGTTGGCTTTACCTTTATACAACTCATCCCACTAATGTGACCACTCAAGCTGTACCAGGGGGAGGGTGTACCTAATAATGCTGGAAAGTTTGTGGTCACTGCCCTAACCCTGTTTGGGCCAACTGATCTTGAGCAACTTTCTCAGAACCATACAGAATCCAGGCACCTCCCAGAACTCCCTGCTTATGTTGAAGATTGACTCCTGTATCTGTTCTTATCAGTACACCTGATAGAGGCAGCTCAGTACCTGTCTAATGAGCATCTTTCCCCAAAGTCTCTGGTGCTATTGGAGGTTACGATGCTTGAGGTGAGTGGCTGTTGACAAGTACACAACTCTTCATATTTATTGTCAATGGCAGCTAATAGCCAGCGCAGCCCTTCAATTAGGGGCTGATGGTCCCTTCTTTGGAAGGTGTGGATGGCTGAACAAGGTTCCTGTGACAAAGAGAGAAGAGAAGACTCTAGCCCAGGAACCAGAGATCTCTTGGGGCCACAGTCCCTATCACTCTCAGCCAAGGAGCAGAGGTACCCAAAAGCTCTGCTCCTTGAGAGGCTCTAAGACTTCCTAAGAGATATTAAACGTTCATAGCTAAGAAGGTAAACGAATGCTATAAAAGCTAAGGTTGTTTAATACAGTGGTTGTGGTATGTAATAACTTGAATGTGTGACCTTGGGCAAGTCACTCAGAGTCACTGAGCCTTAATTTCCTTACTCATAAAATGAGAATATTAAAACTTCTAACTTTACAGAGCAATTTTGAAGGCTTAATGAGAAAGCAGATGTATTATTATCACTGTCAAGTCAGAAATCAACACTATGATGCTGCCTAGTGGGGAGAGGCTTTGCCTGAGACCCAGCATAGGGGGCCGATTATGGAATGGGCCAAGGGATGCATCACTTGGATTTGAGAGGAGGAGGGAGGGGAGGGGTTGACACTTACCACTCGGCACAGGGACTTGTTCTCACGCATTAGCCTTTCCAGGAGTAGATATTCAACAATATCACAAGGTAGGAGAGCATTTTTCTTGTCCTGTTTGTTTGCCAGGCTAGAGTAGGACATAGGAGAGAGGGTGGGAAGAAGAGAAGAAGAGTGAAACACAAATAGAGGCCTAGGGCCAGAAAAGAAGGGAAAGGGGAGAAATAATTCTAGTACAACTGTTGTGTATCCAGGAACTAACTTTAAAGACATTCCCAGTGAGATGAGCCAGACATGTTTCTAGCCAACTCTCAGTGGAGGAAATAATGGCACAAATAATTTGAATCTAAGATCATCCCCAGACCTCATGTCTTGCTTCCTTTACACTATGCCATCAAACTTTACTTAGAATTGCTAGCTGGGATGTGAACAGATTTGGAATTTTTACATCCTCCCCCCAACTCTGTTCATGCTTGAGTTGGGGGTGCTAATGAGGAACAAAAAGGCAAATAGGAGTGTGAGAGGGGTGAGGACTGATGGACCACCTGAAGTATCACCCTGAAATCAGTGCTAGTTACATAATTCTTGCGTAGTCTGCCAAGGGAAGAGGCCTTTGGCATCAATTATACAAAACAGTGTCTCAGGGTCAGAGACTGAAGCCAGAAATGAGAAGCATATTCAGGAAGGCAGTCTTCAGGAAGAGTCAGGGACGGAGTAGGAGATCTAGATATTACTCTCCATTTCCCTTTGATGCTTACCTTCAAAATTACCTTTGCACAATTAAGTAACATGTTCCCACATAGTGGTGTGTGGTAGAAAGTGGCTTTTGAAAACAGCTCCTATAGGATTGGGCCCCCTCCCCCCACTGTGCCAAAGGCAAGAGGACCTGTAGCTGGATGTGACAGAGGACCAGCCCTTCCTCTGTCTTCCGAAGGCACAAAATGGAAAGGGGAAATTGAGCACAAAAGTAGAGGCTTACAGTAGTATAGGTTTTCCTGCCACTCTTTGATCAGACAGCAGATGTGTTAAGGTGATCTTCACTTCTTGCATACGTCCTACGTCACTGGAATCCAGGACAAAAACAAGCCCCTGAGCCTTTGTATAGTAGTTGGGCCAGGTTTCTCGGCCCCTCCTATCTCCATTCAGGTCATAGATGGAAACTTCATATTCATCTAGCAGGAGTCTTGTCAGTTCAGACGTCATACAACTCTCCATCCTACTAGGGAGCACTGTGCATAGGGGAAGAGAGGAGAAGCAATCACAAAGCAGGGGAATATAGTTAGATGACAGAATTTGTTAAACAAACCTTGACTAGAGCCTGCCCTGAGGAATCCTACTGAGGCATCCTGTCATTGCACTCACACTCATAGATTCATCTTTCTAAAGCAGTGCTTTGCCCAGGTTACCATCCCCTGGCTCAGTAACCTTTGGTGAGTATCCTCATAACCTGTCAGACCCATCTCTACCCTGTCTGGTATCCACAGTGTCCCTGATAACACACCCAGTCTCTTCTTCCCTCTGCTCCTTGGCTCATGCTCTCATTCCATGAGAATGCCATGCTCTCTCTTGCCCCGGGCCTTCACAAGATGCTATTCTCACTACTTAGAATACTTTTTTATTACTCTTTGCTTGGTTAACACCTAGTGTTTTCAAAATATATATCAGTTTAGATCTTGTTTCCTCTAGAAAGTTTTCCCTAACACACGCCATCATCCCCTAGTCTGGATAAGGTGCCTTTCTTCTGGGCTTACCACTATCACAGCACATATTCCAGTGTTATCAATTCAACAATTTACTTATCTGCGTTATAAACTGCAACAGGATGGGAACTCTCAATTTTATTCACCATTATATTCATGATTCCAAGCACAGAAGCTAGCACACGGCTGCTCAATAAATATTTGTTAAATGGATTTGATAAAAGAATGACTGAATGAACAGGAGGCCCTTCTCTCCCACCCTTTCTTCCAGGCTTAAGGAGGCTTCTTTAGGAAGCCTCTCTGACCTGCCCAACTCTCACTTTCTCTTCCTCGTTGAGCAAGTGGTTTGTTAAACTGGTCCTTCACCTCATTCTGTGCATGTCATGTCTCCCCAACTAAAATGTAAGCTCTTTGAGGGAGGGGCTCTACCTCAGCTTACACACAGTAGGTGTTCAATAAATGTTTCTGATGCCTGTTATTGTGGATAAGAGTATGAAGTCCTCTTCCCATCTCCTTCAAGAAACCATGCCAAATTCAGATACATTTGCCCTTTTAAGGCCATGGCCAGAACATACAGTTCCACAGGACAGGGGTCCCCAATCCTCCAGCTGTGAATCGGTACTGGTCCGTGGCCTGTTAGGAACCAGGCCGCACAGCAGGAGGTGAGCGACGGGCAAGCGAGCAAATCTTCATCTGTATTTGCAGCCACTCCCCAGTGCTAGCATCACTGCCTCAGCTCCACCTTGGATCATTAGGCATTAGATTCTCATAGGAGCACCGGTCTCTGGTGCCGAAAACGTTGTGGGCCACTGTCATAGGGTATTCCATACCTCATTCATCTCCCATAGAAATGCCGTTCAAAAGGACAGTCTTTATACACATTCCAGTCTGTTGAACTGACATCTCTGGCCTAGCTCTCTGCCCACATAAGTATCAAAATGATTTTATAGAATCTGTACACTCATACCTGGGAGTTCTAAGGCCAGAATGAGTAGCTTCTTATTTCTAGTCTCAGAACAGCAGGAGGTGAGCGACGGGCAAGCGAGCAAATCTTCATCTGTATTTGCAGCCACTCCCCAGTGCTAGCATCACTGCCTCAGCTCCACCTTGGATCATTAGGCATTAGATTCTCATAGGAGCACCGGTCTCTGGTGCCGAAAACGTTGTGGGCCACTGTCATAGGGTATTCCATACCTCATTCATCTCCCATAGAAATGCCGTTCAAAAGGACAGTCTTTATACACATTCCAGTCTGTTGAACTGACATCTCTGGCCTAGCTCTCTGCCCACATAAGTATCAAAATGATTTTATAGAATCTGTACACTCATACCTGGGAGTTCTAAGGCCAGAATGAGTAGCTTCTTATTTCTAGTCTCAGATCTACCTGTGGTATTTTCCTTAGGATTGCCAGAATGAGTTATTTAGCTGAGAAGTTAGTAAGATACTTTAAGATCTTTTGAAATATATAGATTATACACACATTTATGTGTATACATCTATATCTCTATGTATGTGTATATGTATATATTATCATCATGTTTTAATGTGCTCTTATAACTCCTGATGTTAGCCGACGATCTTTTTTAATTAAAGCTCTCAGGTAACATAATTTTCAGTCACAACTTCGATGTGATATTTGCTATGTCTGTATTAGACTAAAAATAATAAGCAAATAGTTAAAACTATAAAGATAATTTTAAAATCTTATTTCCTGCATCAAGGCAAGCTTTATATTATTTTTTCCCTGTCAGAGGAAAACATTTTCCCTAGTTATTTTTTTCTTTTTACTTGAAACCTTACCAGTTCCTTCAATAATGCAATCTATTGTTGGTGAACCCTGGATGCCACAAGAAGTTGTTCCCTCACACTTTATGTTTCTCTTATTTCCTCTATTTGTAAATTTCCTGAGGACGGATAACGAGTCTAATTCATCTCTACATCTCTAGCAGAGTGTTTTGCAAGGCACAGTCTGGGGACTGTTGGCTTCAGAGTTACATGGGGATTGATTGTTAAGTCCTACCCTACACCAAAAGAATCAGAATCTCTATGCTTGGGACTCAAGCATTTGCACGTTTAACAAAATCCTCAGGCAATCCTTCTGTACTTTAAAGCTTGAGACCCACCACCCTAGAGAGCAATGAAACTCATGCCTGTTGTGTCTTAGCGTTATCTGTTGCTGCTTGTTGAGATTTTGATTCCATGGGCCCTCCCTAGACCAAAGTATCTGAGCCTCCAGGTCCTGGGTCAGTAGGTGTGCAAGCTCCCCAGGTGATTCTGATTTTCGGCTCTCAGTACTCACTGTGCTCCAGGATCCTCTATGGAGCTTTTAAAAGCTATGACACTAGTCGTCATTCTCTGAGGGTTTGATGCCACAAGTTGGGGATGGGGTGCAAGTATCATTTGTTAAAAATCTCCCTAGGTGATTAAAATGTATTGCCTGTTTGAGAGGCACTGCTCTGTATGTCCTCATTTAGGGTACCTGCTTGCCATCATGCTTGGGTTTTTTGCCCCATGCGATCATGCCAGACAAAACAGTTATAGTGAATGGTGTCATCAAGAATAATGGCTTATGTCCCAAAATATTTTATAGCTGGAGTCTTAAATGTTCACACAAGTTACTACTTATAGATTGGAAATTCGTTCCTATGCTGTTATCTATTCTTGGTGATCATAAACATTTTAGGAACTATTGCATTTTGGATGCAGAGCAACCTACTAGATTGACTCTGGTAGTTCTGCATGGACAGCAGTGTCCTGAAACACTCTTCAGAATGTGACATCAGTGGAACTTTGCTTTTCTGGTCATAAGAAGTCACAACCATAAACCCACCCATTGGCTTATGATTCAGCCCCATTATTCACCAGGCATGAGGCAAGTATTACAGTAACAAATTAAATGGACTCCAAGCTCTATTCTCTAGGAATTAGAATGGAAAGCAGACACTATTCTCAGACAAAATAGCATATGGCTAATTGCAGATAAGTGCTTCCTAAAGCTGGTTGGCCATTAGAAACACCTGGGGAGTTCTTAAAATATAGATTCCCAGGCCCCACCCAGACTGCATGGGAATCTAGAGGCAGGGTTGAGTGGGGACTCTAAAATTTGTCCCCACTTTTACCAGTAATCTTGTGATTTATCCTGACTCCTTGGTTTTCCTGCTGCTATTTATCTCTTAACCATTTCTGCTTAGCAAAGAGTTGGGAGAGGCAAAGAGTCAAGTTTGCTGCCTATAAGATAGGATGCTAGGCTGAACCATTGGCTAAAATGTAGTGTTTGGGGCTGCCACTCTGGGAGTGAGAGAATGTGGGGAGGGAAGTTGTAAAGAAGCAACATGTAGCCTGAAGAGAATGGTGGACTCGGGGAGAACATTCACTCACAAATATTTGCTGAGGACCTATCTGAAGATATTAAAAGTACAGAGACTAAAGAGACAGAGCTGGAAAAATCCATCACTTTTCCTGAAGGGGCTCACAGTCTAGAGGATGGACTTGCAGTTGTGTAATGATGTTGTAATAAGTGCATGATAGAGAGAGGCACAGAATAGAGTGGCAACTGAGGAAGGAGGCATTGGGCATTAGGGATGGCTTTTCTGAGGTCAAGCTTAGACTGTGTCTAGAAGCATTTGATTAAGCAGGTAGATAATGGAGGGGGTAAAATACTAGGTAGTGGGACAGCATATGAACTAGATCGGCATGATGGCAGAGGAATGGCAAGTCATTTGTTTTGGTTCTATTGGGTTACTTGTGGAAAGCACGAGAAATGAAGCTGGAAGAGAAGTCAGAGACCAAATCATGGAGGACCCTGTGTGCTACTATGCAACTTAAGTTGTATTTTGATGATAATGGGGAGGCCTTGAATGGTTTTGAGCAGGAAAGTGCTATGATCAGATTTTTGCATTAAGTCCTTCAGGCAGCTGTGTGGGCTGAATGCTGGGAATACAGCTAGAGATGGCAAGATCAGCCAGCAGGCTGCTTCTGTAGTTCAAGGAAATCGATGTGGACTTCAAGTAGGCCAGTAGCTGAGGAGTCCGGTTAGCACTTTTTAGTACTTTGCTGAGGGCTTCCAGGTTATTTAAAACTCAGCCACATCACCATACTCCCACTTTTATTTAATAAACATTAATGGAGGGCATCCTATGCCAGGTACTGTGCTGGGCTCTTTGATTGACTGGGTCTTCACAACTTGAGTAGTAGCTCCCTGAAATTGTGTAACTGCTTCTTGAAATACCAAGGTATTAAATGGAATTCTGGTATTAAACTTGCATGTCTCTGAACTGACAACATTTCTCAAACTCCAACCCTCTATATTAACTGTCACAAAGAGTTTCATGTTATTAAACTTCATCATCCCACACTTGTCTCTCTTATCTAGACCAAATTCCACTTTAGTTGAGTTCTGAAACAAAACACTGTTTCAAACATGCTATCCTTCATAATTGACTGTGGTGCTTTCCATAGTTTGAGTTCATTCATACCGACACTGTGAGAGGAAAGAACTTCAATTAGGATATCTTGTAAAGTGAGAAGGTGACATTACATAAACAGGCTGATAACACTCAAGGAGGGGAGTGTGTATGTGTGTTGGGAAGTGCTTATCTTCAAAAGAGGGAACCGGAGGGCCATGAAGTAAAGTTAGGAAGGAATGATTAGTTCCATTGATTCTGGGGGCCCATGGGAGACTTAGAACAGTATCTAATGCCCTTACTTCTTTGAAAAGCCTCCATAAGAACAGTTTTGCCTGAATTGTTCAATCCGATGATGATGATGGTTGCATTTCTGAAAATGGAAAAGAAAAATGAGTCAAAGCCTTAAAAGCATTGTTAGTTCTTAGGCTAAACAAAGAATTCTACTCTTCCTTGGTGTTTAGGGCTCTGCCTGCAGTATTCCCAATGCATGTACCATAAAAGGTATAGCCCAAGTGATAGAAGGTGATGTAAGAACCCCTCCCCAAAGCCTCCAAGGATGCTTTTTTTTCCTCGATTCACTTGCCTCGTAGAATTGGCCATTGTCCTGCAGACACTGCTTAATCACTTCTTCTAACAATATGTATCATGAAGATTTGCCACTTGAAAGACTGTGGACAGTTACATTGGAGGAAATGGTGGAAGAGGTCTAGAGAAACAATTACAATATTACCTTCGCGTGTCTTCAGTTGTCTTTAGCCGAGACCAACAGGAGGTGAGGAGCCGGAACATGATACAGCTTAATTCTATAATATTAAAGGAAACAAGTAAACAAGAAATCAGCCCTGTTATTAACACTGAACCTGTCAGCTTACCGCACTACACAGGTGCTGGTAAACAGAAAGTCTGAGACTGTCAGAAGTTTATTAGTTCATTCTATCCAACCTTGTCTATGAATGCCAGAGAGGGAGGGACTGGTGATCCTTAACTCCAGATTACTACAAAATGGGATACTTTCTTATTAAAGCAACCCATACAGGCATGTGGTGTCAGGTGTGGCCTATCTCTTCAGCCATAGACCATCCCTATTAGGAATATGTTCATTCAAATTTGGGGTGGGGTGAGGTGATGCCTTAGAGAAGTACCAGTTTAGATTTTGAGAAGGACCTATTGGGAGACTTGTTCTAAGTAACAACTATCCACTGGGCTTGGTTCCCTTATTACCTCTGCCTCAAAAATGTGGGTGTTGGTGATCCACTGTCATAGATTTCATACAATTCTTAGAGCTGTAAGGGACCTTAGAGATATCTGATCTAATAGATTTCAAACATCAGACCAGGCGCCCTGCTCTCAAAGATTCCCAGGGAGCTGCCTAAGCTCCCCAGGAGATTTCAAAGTACGGCCATATTTGGAAGTGATCGCCTAAGTAAAAAGCACAATTTAGACAATCACTTCAAGGTTCGCCCATGTCGTAGCATGTATTAGTATTTTGTTCCTTTCCATGGCTGAATAATATTCCATGGTATGGATATATCACATTTGTTTATTCATTACTCAGTTGATGTACATTTGGCTTGTTTCTACTTTTTGGCTCTTATGAATAATGCTATAGACATTTTTGTACAACTTTCTTCATGGACATAGATTTTCAGTTCTTTTGGGTAGATACATAGGAATAATTACCGGGCCATATGATAACTCTATGTTTAACCTTTTGAGGAAGTACCAGACTGTTTTCTCAAGAGGCTGCAACATTTTACATTCCCACTAGCAGTTCAGGAGTGTTCCAATTTTTCTCTATCTTCATCAACACATGTTGTTGTCTTTTTGTTTATAGCTATCCTAGTGGGCTTGAAATGATATCTAATTGTGATTTTGATGTGCATTTTCATAATGGCTAATTATATTGGAGCCCAGAGCTGGACGAAGTTCTGGTTGGGTTAGCAAAGTATTTTGGCTGATACTCAGATGGGCCGAGCACAGTATATGTGCCAGCTTATCAATAGATAACAGGTTTCTGCAGAGTCATTCACTGTTTTGGAGAACTGCTATTCCCAAATAGAGACTCACACTTCATAGCATTTCTTAGAGCACAGTTTGTTCCCTAGGAAATCACTTGGGTTCCCATAAGGACCTCCTGGAGAATGGCTCTGGCTTATGCTAGACAAAAAGGAAACATTATATGTAGTCTGATCAAAACCAGCCTTCTTCCAGCTTTGTTCGTGAAGCCGATAAGACCTAGAGCCTGAAACACCAAAGCCTGATTGTCTGGTTTCCATGATAGCCATCTCCCTTTGAGACTAGGCCAGTAGCAACTTCATGTCTATTTCCTGATAATTGGCAGAGCTTCCTAGCTTGAGCTCAGGCTCTCTGTATTTGTTAGTGCCACCAGGAAAGGTCAAACTGGCATCACACAAGTTATTCCTTAAAAACTATACTAAGGAAGGATAACTAGGATAACTGAGGAGGAAACCAATTGGACTAAGGATTATCTGTCCTTTCTTACATTTCCAGTGCCTCTCCTGGGTACCCAGGGATGAAAACACCTAAATTCAACCTACCGTTTTCAAATTTCTTATCTGTAGATAATGATATATTTTACATACCTTGAGGTGGTTAATTAGAAACAACTTCTGAGTAGAAGTTGGTTCTTTATAGATGAAAGACACCAGCTATGTAGAGTGATAGGAAGGTGGGCTGAGATCTCTAGCCCTTGTGCAAGATTAACATAGCTCAGCTGCCTGCTTACAAGGGTATGACAACGTCCCAACAATGGCTTTCAAAGTTCTGATATATCTATGGCAACCACTGCCTGGTTCATAGCAACCAAACCCACATCTCCCTACCTGGTATGATTACAGGTGATTACTAAGTGAATTTTTAATCATCATAAATTTTTTTGTTTAGTTTACAAAGTGTTTATACAGAACTTACAATGTACCAGCACTCATTTAAGCACTTGATACCTATTAACTCATTTAATCCTTATGACAACATGACAAAAAGTAGTGGCCATCATGCCTACTTTCAAGAGACGAAGTTTACAAAGAAGTTACATAACTTTCCCAAGGTTACCTGGCCAGTAAGTGGTAAATCAGAATTCAAACCCAGGCAGTCTGGTTTCAGAGTCTGTATATATTGGGTTAAGGGTCTCACAGGCTGTATGAGAAGACCTTGGGAACCAGAGAAATTGCCCTGCTCTGGGCCTCTCTGTCTCTTGTAGCCAAACTGTACCGTACTTATTCTTTTTTTTTTTTAAGTTAACTTTTTTATTGTTAAAGCAAGTTGACATACAATATTATATTAGTTTCAAGTGTAAAACATAGTGATTCGACATTTATATACCTCATGATGTGATCACCACAATAAGTCTGGTAACTATCTGTCATTGTACAAACATATTTAGTGAACTGTAGTTGATAATAATGTATCAACAGTGGTTAACTATTATTAACTAAAGTCCATGCTTCATTCACATTCCTTTAGTTTTTATTTAATGTCCTTTTTCTGTCCCAAGATCCCACCTAGGATACCACAGTGAATTTAGTTGTCAAGTCTCTTTAAGCTCTTCTTGGCTGTGACATTTGCTCAGACTTTGTTTTTGATGACTTAGACAGGAGTACTGGTCAGGTATTTTGTAGACTGTCCCTCACTTGGTGTTTGTCTGATAATTTTCTCATGATTAGACTGCAGTTATGTGTTCTTGGGGGGAAATTACAGAGGTTAAGGCCCTTCTCATCACATCATATGATGAATACATGCTATCAACATGACCTATCTCTGATGATGTTGACCTTGATTACCTGGTATTTGTTAGGACTTTCCACTGTAAAGTTACTCTATTTCCCCCTTTCCATGCTGTACTCTTTGGAAGGAAGTTACTATGTGCAGTCTACACTTAAGGAATGGGGAGTTATGCTTTACCTCCTTGAGGGGGGAGTATCTATATAAGTTATTTGGGAATCTTCTGTATGTGAGGTTTGTCTGTTCACATGTGTTTATTTATTAAATCATTAATATAATATCAACTAATAGGCATTTATTTTATACTTCGAGTTATAATCCAGTACTACTATTTTACTTGTTTAATTTATTTCAACTTTGGTATTGGGAGTTCTGTAAATTGACTCCTGTATCTCTTTGACATACCTCCACTGTTATGGTTTTTGTTTATTTGTTTTGAGCACATCCTTTCTTGCTGGCACTATGAGAGGCTTCAGGCTAATCTTTTGTATTCCCTGCCCTAGTCTTAGAATCAACCATTTCTCCAAGGAGCTCTGGATTCCTTCATTAGAGAGCAGTCTTAGAAACCAAGATCTGGGTACTAGATGTGATCACTGCTACTGGAGTGTCATTGCTTCTAGGCTCTCTCAGATGACAGAACAAGGACTCTATGTGTGTATACTAACTTGTGTATATAGATATATCTGTAAACATTTATGTGACCATGTTTTTCTATATCGAACTAAACATGAGAATATACTGATGTTTTCAATTCTAACCCATCACTGTGTGTGTGTGTGTGTGTGTGTGTGTGTGTGTGTGTGTGTGTGTGTGTGTAGAGTTATTATAAGGTATTCGCTCATGCAATTTTGGAGTCTGGCAAGTTCCAAGATCTACAGGGTGAATAGTAAACTAGCCTATTCTAGCCTTCTCCCTTTGCTTAACTGTTACCTCCCACTCCATCAATGAGAAACCTGGCTTCTACCATTCACAATCTATTTACTTGATTGTTCAATTCTAGTCTACTGTAGAGCAGTATCAGAATTGTTAAGTCATATACCCTTATGGGAAGCCACTTGATCAGCTATAGTGCTATGTACAGTTCCTTTAGTGTTACAGACTACATTTATTTCTAGTTACGTGGGTCAGCACACTTATACTACCTGCTTCAGTGAAGTCGTTTCATACATTTGTAATACATATACTGCAATAAGTTAATTTTATGTATCAACTTGACTGGACCACAGGATGCCCAGATATTTGATCAAACTTTATTCTAGGTGTCTCCATGTGGGTGGTTTTGGATGAAGTCAACATTTAAATAGACTGGGTAAAGCAAATGACATACCCTAATATGTAGGCCACATCCAATCAGTTGAAGGCCTGAAGAAGACGAAAAGGCTGACTGACCCTCCACTGAGTAAAAGAGGATTCTTTGTGCTTGACTGCATTAGAAATGGGACATTGTTTTTTTTTTTTTTTCCCTGCCTTCAGACTCAGACCGAAACAGTTGTTCTTTCTAGGTCTCAAACCTGCTACCCTCTGACTGGAACTATACCATCAGCACTCCTGGGTTTCCAGTTTGTTGATTCACCCTGGAGATCTTGGAACTTAACCACACTCCAAAATTGCATGAGTAAATACCTTATAATAACTCTAAACACACACACACACTTTTTTTTCCCTGCCTTCAGACTCAGACCGAAACAGTTGTTCTTTCTAGGTCTCAAACCTGCTACCCTCTGACTGGAACTATACCATCAGCACTCCTGGGTTTCCAGTTTGTTGATTCACCCTGGAGATCTTGGAACTTAACCACACTCCAAAATTGCATGAGTAAATACCTTATAATAACTCTAAACACACACACACACACACACACACACACACACACACACACACCCTCTATTATTGGGATATGAACAACTACAGTAAGTCCTCACATAGCATTGATAGGTTCTTGGAACTATGGCAACATGACATATAATGAGAGCAATTTTATCATAGGCTAATTGATATAAACAAGATTGAATTCCTTAGGCATCTCATCAACATTATAATGAAATAGCATTGAACAAAAATGACGTTATTTGAGACTTCCAGTCAAGATGATGATGTAGGAAAACATTGTGCTCATATCCTTCCATGACCACATCAACATTACAACTAAACTATAGAAATACCACCCTTGAGAACCACCCAAAGACTAGCTGAACAGAACTCCTATAATTAAGGAGATATATATCTATATCTATATATCTATATCTATCTATCTATCTATCTATCTATCTATCTATCTATCTATCTATCTATATATATATATAAAAGAAGACACATTGAGACTGGTAGGAGTGGCAGAGACGTGAAACAGGCTGGTCCCGCACCCATATGTGGTGGTTAAGAATCAGGAGGAATATGTAGGCTGCGGAGGTCCCCCTTGAAGAGCAAGGGATCTTGGCCCTACACTTGGCTTCCTAGCCCAGAGGACCAGTGCCAGAAAGAGGAGTCCCCACAATATTTGGCTGTGACAATCAGTGGGGACTCTGTCTGGGTGAGACAGAAAGCTGCTATAGAACTAGGTGTCCTCTTAAAGGGCCTGAGCACAGATTCACTCATTCACAAACAGTCGCCCTAAGCTCCAACAAAGGGACAGCAGCTTGAAAAGTACTAGGGACATACAGGAAGTACCTGAATTGTCTGGCTTCTGAGTGAGGGCTAGAAAGGCAGCTATCTCTGGGACAGAAGTGCTGGCAGGTGCCATTGTTCCTTTCGTGAGCACTCCCCCAACAAGCTGGCAGGCGCGAGTGGGAGAACTGGCAGATGTAGGCGAAAGTGCTAGCAAAAGCCATTGTTCCTTTGTTGAACCAAACAGACGACAAGTGCAGGCTGGCTCCAAATCTGATATGCCATTCTGGCTAACACCACTTGCCACACACTGATGATTCCCTGAGAACCCACAGCACACAACTCACAGGCCCGAACCTCTTTCAGCGGCTGATCCAGATAAGCAGCCAGCCTCAACCCACACTGCAGACCTTCCTAAAATCTTTTAAAGGTCTGCAAAACCCCTAAAGTGGTGGCTGGCTACAATGTGCCCTATAGCACTTATTTAACATCCCTAAGCCCAGCACAGGTGGCAGCTGGCCTCAGATTGCAGCAGAGCCTTTCCCAGGTGACTCCAAGCCAAGTACAGGCAGCTACCAACCACAGATTACTTTGTAGCTCCTACCAGGTAGCCCTGGGCAAGGCACAGATAGCAGCTAATTTTGATGTACACCAGAGCCCCTCCCAAGAGGTCCCAGAAACAACACACATGGTAGTCAGCTTCAGACCACACCAGACCACCACCCAATTAGCTCCACAAATGATATACCCAAAAGGTGGACCCAGCAGGCACCAGAATCCAGCCAAAGTGAATCCTGATCCATGGGGTGAGCCCTTGCACAACAGCTCATCCACTGTAGTCATGGCAACTCCTCACAGTCAGCCTGAGGGTCAGTCTCACCCACTGATATGTCAACAGAAATCAAGGTTCAACTACAACAGGAGGACACACACAACACACACAAGGGACACCTTTGGAAAACCTGACTCAGCTGACCAGGGAGACTGTGTCACTAGGTCCCACAGGACACCTACTATATAAGACCACTCTGCCAAGACTGGAAGACATGACAGATCTAACTGATACATAGGAACAAACACAGGGAGACAGACAAAATGAGGAGACAAACAAATATGTCTCAAATGAAAGAACAAGACAACACTACAGAAAAAATGAATAAATGAAATGGAGGCACGCGACCTACCAGGTACGGAGCTCAAAACACTGGTTATAAGGATACTCATTAAAATTAGAT